GATAATATGTGGCCCTCCAAGGGTAAGGTATGCACCCTCCTGTCTCCTAACCTGTCCATATACAGAATACTTTTCTTCTCTGTCCTTGTTCATATCAATCCACCTCTTATATAGGAAGTGTCTACTGTTTCATTGATTGACACAGTTCTGAACAGAAGACTGCTCTGTGAAGAGCAGCAATGAGTGTTCGTGGACTGGCAAACAGAGCAGATAGTGATGGAACCACTGCTGGCAGCTTGGCTGTGCTCCTAGGCACGTCAGTGAACCAGCAGGCACTGACGTCGTATGTCCTCCTCAAGGAGAAATGCCTCATCAGCAGGTGTCAACGAGGGAAGGAATTCATACAAAGTCAGATAGACCTGTCACAAAACCATGCCAGGAAACAAAGCAGTGATTTCATCGAGGGGTAAGGTAATTACTGACAGTGAATGGTAACATTGGTTATTCTCACTGAAACAGTAATAAGCACCTTGTCTCATCGAAGTTGTGTTTAGGGATAGACAGGGACATATATTCCCCTCCAATAACAGTAAATGAAAACTGAGCGATTCCAGCAGTCCTACTTCTAGGTATGTATCTGAAAGTATTGAAACCAATTAGTCTCACATGTTCATTGCAGCATTATTCACAATAGCCAAGATATGGAAACAACCAAAGTGCCTGTAACAGATGAATGGTTTCATGGGCTAGGAAGGTGGCTCAGTGGTAAAGTGCTTGCCTAGATGAATGGTTTCAAAATGTCACATATATGTATACACACACACACACACACAAAATGGAAATTGGTTCAACCTTTACAAAAGAGGAAATTCTGTCATTTATGACAACATAGATGAGACCTAGATTGAAAAAGCCAATTATGCGATTATACCACTATTGGGCTAGTGGTAACAACACAGGCTTGTAACCCCAACCACAAGGGAGACAGACAAGAGGATTAACATTTGAGGTCAGTTGGACAGAAGTTAATGTGAGCCAGGTACTGCTGTATCATGCCTGTAATCCTAGCTACTCGGGAAGCTGAGATGTGAAGATCCTGGTTTGAAGCCAGCCTGGGCTGGAAATTCTGTGAGACCCTTATCTCCAACAAACTACTCAGAAAAAGCTGGAAGTGGTGCTGTGGCTCAAGTGGTAGAGTGCTAGCCATGAAAACAAAGTGTCTCAGGGAAAGCACCAAGGCTTTGAGTTCAAGCCCAAGGACCAGTTTAAAAAAAAATTAGTTTGAGACCCTATCTAAAAAACAAACTAAAAGCGAAAGAACAGGGGTCATGGGTATGGCTCAAGTGATAAGTGGTAGAGTGCTTTTCTAGCAAGCATGAAGCCCCAAGTTCAATCCCCAGTACCACAAAAACAAAACAAAAACAAACATCTCATTTATATCTAGAATCTTAAAAATTCACACTCATAGAAGTACAAATAGAACAGTGGTTACCAGAGGATGTGGTGTGGGATGAATAGGGAAAGAGGAGATGCCGGTTAAAGGGTAGAGTTTCAACCTGGTGCCAGTGGCTCCCACCTATAATTCTAGCTACTCAGGAGGCTGAGATCTGAGGATCGCAGTTCAAAGCCAGCCCAGGCAGGAAAGTCCAGGAGACTCTTATCTCCAGTTAATCACCAGAAAACAGGAAGTGGTGCTGTGGCTCAAGTGGTAGAGTGCTAGCCTTGAGCTGAAGAGCTCAGGGACAGCGCCCCTTGACTGACAAAAAAAAAAAAAAAAGTGTAGCATTTCAGTTATGGAAATATTTTGTACAGCATGATGACTACAGTTAACAATCACATCTTGTCTAGTCTATAAAGAGCGAAAAATGTGGATTTTAAAATGTTCTCACCACAAAGGATAGATAGGTAATTATCCTGATCTGATCACTCCACATTGTGTGTATATATGGAAACATCACATTTTGTGTGTGTGTGTATGTGTGTGTGTGTGTGTGTGTGTGTTTTGGCCCTACTTCAACCTGGAATCTCTTGATGATGAAGTCTGGGCAAAGAATCTTTTTCATTATCATTTATTGTTTTATTTTTTTATACCTTTATTAAAGTATAATTAGCTGACAATAATCTACACATTTAAAGCCTACAATTTGATGCTTTTTTATGTAAGAACACATTTATGCAAGCATCCTCAGTCAAGATAACAAATATTTCTGCTGGGCACACTGACTCATACCTATAATCCCAGCTACTCCAGAGGTAGAGATCAGGAGGCTCATGGTTTGAAGCCAGTCCAGTGCCTAACTACTGTCCACATTTTCAACCACAAAACCTACAGATAAAAAGTTGGGAGCCAGTGGCTCATGCCTGTAATACCAGCTACTCAGGAGACTGAGATCTGAGGATCACACTTCAAAGCCTGCCTGGGCACTAAAGTCTGTAAGACTTGTCTCTAACTAGCAAAAAACTAGAAGGGGAGATGTAAGGTGAGGTATGTCTAAAATGGTAGTGTCTGCCTTGAGCAAAAAAAAAGCAAGGCCCTGAGTTTTAATCCCAGTGCCAGCATGAGACAGATAGACAGACTGACAGACAGGCAGGCAGACAGACAGACAGACAGACAGAAAAAGAGAGAGAGAGAGAGAGAGAGAGAGAGAGAGACTGCACCAGGGACTGGTGTGTGACACTGAGAAGCAAAAATTTCCAAACAAGGGTAATGGAAATGTAGGCATGAAAACCAGAGACAGCCCTGGACCTACCTTAGAGACTAAGATCCACAAGAGTAAATATTCCAAAAGAGAATCTTTAAGATGAAGACATGTAGCTTGTCACAGCCATTGTACAAAGGGAATTCTTGGCTGGTCCCAGACAGCCAGAAAGTATGAAAGAGTCCAGGATTGATAAGCAGGATATCTGAATTCTAACTTCACTGTGCCACTAAGACTCCCACCAACCCACATTTATTTGCACTTCAGTGTTTCACACACATTTCAAATTCATGTCCAAAAGTATTTTGTTCCCAGAACCCATGCCCATCCCCTTTTCCTGTGGCGTTCATCTCAATAAATGGCCTAGGAGGATTCTGGAAGTCATCCATCTCTACATTTTTTCAGTTGCCCAAATCTCCTATAAATCTTCTACCTCACTATTTCAGACTAAGCCTGAATTGTCTCCTTTTCTTTTCTTTTTTCTTTTCCCTCCCTCTTTTTCTTCCTCTCTCCCTCCCTCCCTCCTTCCTTCTTCCTCTTTTTCTTTTGTAGTTAACTGGAGGTAGAGTGTCACAGACTTTCCTGCCCAGGCTGGCTCTGAACCACAATCCTCAGCTTCAGACAGGATCCTGAGTAGCTAGGATTACAAGATGAACCACCAGCACATGGCCTGTGTTGTGTCTGTAGTTGTCTAACAGGTCCCTCAGCTTCTACTTCTTGCCTTGTTCCAGTCCATCTGCCACCCTGCCAACCACTGAGAGCTTCCAAAACAGAAATTCTATGTCACTAGTCTATTTATTTTTCATTTGCTCCCCACCACCCACCGGATGTCCCAAGCAATCCCAGTCTATTTGTGATTTGGCCTCTGCCCTGTTCTCACACTTCATCTCTGAGCACTCTACTTCAGCCACGCTCAAGTTTTGTCGTTCCTCCAATGCCACCTTTGGCTATGACACTAATGCTTTGGTCTCCCTGGAAGTGCCCCCCTTCCTCTGCCCTTTGCCGGGCTAAAATTAACCTGCCCTTCTAGACTCAGCTCAGGCTGAAATTTTTCCTGGCACCCCCTTTGATAGTTCCACAGCATTTTGTGCAAACAAGAGCCACTATTCACTCAGAATGGTGTTTGCTCATGCATCCCTGTCCCTCGCTAATAAGCACACTAGCTTATTCAGTATTTAGTGTTTAATATTCACCCAACCAATATTTGAGGAGCTACAATGTGCCTAATATTATAAGGGTAAGGGATAGCCGGGCGCCGGTGGCTTATCCTAGCTACTCAGGAGTCTGAGATCTGAGGATCACAGTTCAAAGCCAGCCAAGTCCGTGAGACTCTTAACTCCAATAAACCACCAGGAAATCGGAAGCGGTGCTGTGGCTCAAGCAGTAGAGCACTCACCTTGAGCTGAAGAGCTGAGGGACAGAGCCCAGGCCCAGAGTTCAAGCCCCATGACTGGCAAAAATAAAATAAGGGATAGAGACACAAACAAATCAAGTAAGGGGCAACATAACAAATACACCTGTGTGTGTGCGCGCGCGCGCATGCTTGAACTCAGGGCCTAGGCACTGTCCTTGAGCTTTTTTGCTCCACGCTGGTGCTCTACCACTTGAGCCACGGCTCCAACTTCCAAAGATCATAAGAAAAAAAAGCTATAGCAAATAAATCCATAACTAAGCAGGAGACTAAGAGAATGCAACGAAGAGAAGGATGCCCAGGCGTTGTAGTGGAAGGACTTACCAAAGTGGAAGGACCCCAGGGAAGGCCCAGGGTCTTGCCGCCGGGGGCGGGGCGGGGAGAAGGGGTCAACCTCACAGGCTATAAAGGTTTTGTTCCTGGAGTGACACGGTCTGATTTTTCCACTGACCCTGGAGCTAGGGGGCCCAGGCTGTCCGGATGGGGAAACTGAGGCAGAAACGCCAGTGGCTTTCCTGGAGCGTTGGGGGGTGGGGGTGGGGGTAGCTGGAGGCGGGGTTGGGACCAAAGTTAAAAACGTCCGGGGTGACCGGGAGAGGTGGAGGGGGAGGTGAGGGGACGCCCGGCCCCTCCGGGGAGGAGACCCGGAGGAAGTCCCCGAGGCCGGGCGAGGGGGGCGGGGGGCCCGGGGGCCGAGCGGACACCCGGCGGGCGGGCGGGCGCGCGGGCGCGCGGCGGGGCCGGGACTCCGCGCCCCACGCGGGGGTTTCCGCGTCTCCCGGGCGGGGCCGGAAGAGGAAGTCAGCGCTGCCGCGGCGGCCCGGCCTCGCTGTCCCGGCCTCGCTGTCCCGGCCTCGCTGTCCCGGCCTCAGCTGACCCAGCCGGTCCCGGCCGCCCCCCGGGGCCCCCCGAGCCTCCCCGCCGAGCCCAGCCGCGCCGCGCCGCGCCCCGGGCACCGCCAGCCCGATGGGGCGACCGCCGCGGCCGCCCCCGTGCCCGGCCGCCCTGCTGTGGGGCTTCCTGCTGCCGTTGGTAAGGGGGGGGCGGGGCCGGCGGGCGGGGGGGTCCCCTCCCCTCCTCCTCCCTCCTTCCCCCTCCCTCACCGTCCTCCCCTCCCTCCTTCCTTTCCCCTCCTCGCCCCTCCCCTTCCGTCCCTTTCCCCCCCTCTGTCCCTCCCCTCCCTGTGCGCGCGCCCCCGCGGCCTGCTCCTCCCACCCCTCCCTCTTCCCCCTCCCCACGGACCCCCTCCCCTCCTCTCCCTCCCCCTCCTCGCTTTCTCCCCTCCGATCCCCATCACATTGCTGTCTCCTTCCAGTTCTTCTTTCCAACCTCCCCCACCACCACCCCGTTCCTGCCCCCCGCACCCCCCGCACACCCCCGTCCACCCCGTTCCTGCCTCCCGCACCCCCCCCCCCCCGCACACCCCCGTCCACCCCACCCCGCCCGGGCATCCGCGAGTCCCGCAGCAGCCCCGGCCCTGCCTGGCCCTTCCCGGTCGCCTGCCTGCCTGCCTGCCTCGCTCCAGTGTCCAGACTGACCTCCGCGTTACCGGTGCTCACTCAACCACCTCCTGACCCCCTTCCCCGGGGAAGGAGAAGTCTGACCCACCGGGGTCACCGCTTGGCTTCGAAGTTCAGGGACTGCGCTTTTGGTTTACCTGCATGAACACACGTTCTGTGGCTGTACCCGTCCTCACACAATTCCACACTGTCTCAGAGATCCGTGAGATATACGGACGTGCCTTCCGAGTAGAGCAGTGTGGAATCTCTAGCCTGTCTCTTTATAGCTAGATCCATTGGAGAGAGACCATTTTCCTGCCTCATTTGCCTTGGGATTCATGTGACTCCCCTGTGAAGGTTTTGTGTTCGTTCTAGTCATTATTTAAAATAACTTTACAAAGAAAACACCAAAGAGTAATTAATGCCTTCAGTGGTTTTCAGTTCTCCATCTAGTTTAACTAGATGGAGAGTTGGTAAAGGAAAGCAGCAAATATGTGCTCCTAAGTGTGTTCTCATAATTCCAGAAAATAATAATAATAATGTTTTCAAATTAAGCTTCCGGGAATTTGAGCTTCCCTGAGTCGTGGTGAGTGACCAGGACGCCGTCCTCACAGTTTCATTTTTTGTGTCCATTGCCTTTTCCTTAGAATGCTTCAGGTAGGGAACTTTTAGTGTTAGTTACACAAAAGTGGCCCCAAGTAGGCAGTTATTTCCATTAGAATGTGTAACTTCTCTGAAAGAGTATGTTGTTTACTTTAAAGGAATTAGTGAATATATTCAGTGTCTTTGACAATTATTAAGAAAATCTGAGCCAGGGGCTGGGAAGGTGGCTCAGTGGTAGAGCGCTTGCCTTGCATGCATGAGGCCCTGGGTTCGATTCCTCAGCACCATATAAGCAAAAAGCAAAAAAACTGCAAGTGGCACTGTGGCTTGAGTGGTAGAGCACTAGCCTTGAGCTGAAGAGCTGAGGGACAGCGCCCAGGCCCAGAGTTCAGGCCCCACGACCGGACCCCCAAAAAAGAAAAGAAAAGAACAGAAAATCTGAGCCAAAAAAGACATCCACCAGGGGATAGTGGCTCATGCCTATAATCCTAGCTACTCAGGAGGCTGAGATCTGAGGATCACAATTCCAAACCAGTTGGGGCAAGAAAGTCTGTGAGACTCTTCACTAAACTACAAAAAAAAAGCTGAAAGTGGAGCTGTGGTTGAAGAGGTAGAGCACTAGCCCTGAGCATAAAAGCTGTGGAGCAGCACCGAAGCCCAGCGTTCAAGCTCCAGGATCGGCGCATACACACAAAAACAAAACTTAATTTTTTTCTTTGGGGGGGTCCGGTCGTGGGGCCTGAACTCTGGGCCTGGGCCCTGTCCCTCAGCTCTTCAGCTCAAGGCTAGTGCTCTACCACTTGAGCCACAGTGCTACTTCCGTCTTTTTTTTTTTCTTTTTGCTTATGTGGTGCTGAAGAATCGAACCCAGGGCCTCAAGCATGCAAGGCAAGCGCTCTACCACTGAGCCACCTTCCCAGCCCAAAACTTAAAATTTTATCTTTAGTGTATTCCTAACTTTGCTAGGTAGCTTTAGAATCGTGAATGAGAGAATACACATAAAAATTGCTTTAGGGGCTAGGTATGTGGCTTAGTGGTAGAGTACTTGCCTCGTATGCATGAAGCCCTTGGGTTTGATTCCTCAGTACCACATAAACAGAAAAGGCTGGAAGTGGCGCTATGGTTCAGGTGGTAGAGTGCTAGCTTGAACAAAAGAAGGGACAGTGCCCAGGCTCAGTCCCTGCGTTCAAGCCCCAGGACTGGCAACAAACAAACAAAAACCTTGAAGAGAACAACAAAATAGTAGCATTCTTCTTTTTCTTTTTTTTTTGCCGGTTGTGGGGCCTGAACTCTGGGCCTGGGTGCTGTCCCTCAGCTCTTCAGCTCAAGGCTAGTGCTCTACCACTCATAGCGCCACTTGCGGCTTTTTCTGCATATGTGGTGCTGAGGAATTGAACCCAGGGCCTCATGCATGCAAGGCAAGCACTCTACCACTGAGCTACCTTCCCAGCCCAGTAGCATTATTCTTGAGTCTTGAGTCTTTCACTGTCTCATCAGATAAAGAATATTTAGATCGAAAAGAGCAAGTCAGAGTATGAAGAGGTACACAAAATTATAGGCTACATGTAATACTCAACTAAAGTATTTTTGTACTCATTTTCATTTCAGTTTTTGAAGATAATTCTAAGAATATATACATTATGCATATTTGGATTTTATGTGTGTGTGTGTGTGTGTGTGTGTGTGTGTGTGTGTGTGTGTGTGTAAATATATACTAATTCTTTCTCAAAAATATTTAGCCCTAGGGCTGGGAATATGGCTTAGTGGTAGAGTACTTGCCTTGCATGCATGAAGCCCTAGGTTTGATTTCTCAGTACCGCATAAACAGGAAAAACTGGAAGTTGTACTGTGGCTCAGATGATAGAGTACTGGCCTTGAGCAAAAGAAGCTCAGGGACAGTGCCCAGGCCCTGGGTTCAAGTCCCAGGACTGGCAAATGAATCAATAAAAATTTAGCCCAGTAGTACATCCGTTCCTTACATTGATAACTTTTTTATTTTCTTTTGCCAGTCATGGGGCCTAAACTCTGGGCCTGGACACTGTCCCTCAGCTCTTCAGCTCAAAGCCTAGCGCCCTACCACTTGAACCACAACACCGCTTCTGGCTTTTTTTCTGCTTATGTGGTGCTGAGGAATTGAACCCAGGGCCTCATGCATGCAAGGCAAGCACTCTACCACTGAGCCACCTTCCCAGCCCCTTATGTTGATTTTTTTTTTTTTTTTTTAGCCAGATAACACTTTATCGTGGTTTGCTAGTAGTAGATCATTTAATACCTCAGCATGTACAACTGTTTTTGCGTAACTGTTGCTCTGACAGAAGCAATGATGCGACATTTAAAGGCATTTAGCCTCATCTTATGTCAGTCTGGTCAATGGTTGCCTAGTTTAGAGTTCAACTAGTTAGTGGAAAAAGGGAAATCTGGTCCTAGAATCTCAAACGAGGGACTTCATGATAGGCAGCCCATATGTGTAAAGTGCTTATGCTCAGTGCAAAATAGGGCAAACTCAGAAGGGCAGGCAGAAGCCAGGTAAAGATATTGCCTGGGTGTCAGATGCGTTCTATGACACAGTTGATACCTTTTTGAAAGCTCTTCGCCTCTCATCAGAAAAATATATATATATATATATATATATAAGCAAAATGTTTATATGATTTTATTGGGCTTTAGGAATTTGCAGGTCATCTCTGTTCTACATTATAGTGGGCTTGTCTCACTTTCTTTTATATTGTACTTACACATACTACTGTATTTCACATTCTGATCTTGGGCTATGTACTGCTTTTTTCAGGTACGTTGAGCCGAAGTAAGTTAGTTTACTCTGCAAGTATTTGGTGTGTCTGTCAGTGTGCCAAGCCCTGTACTGATGACTAAAGAAGCTGACAAGATGTTTCAGTTGTGGAGGTCTTCTTCAGTATCAACTTATATTCTTGATTTCCTGTTTTTTTGTTTCGCTGTAAATTTGTTTTCTTCTTGACCTTCTCTTTAACTTTTGCATTCCTTTCCCTTTCTGGAGGAACTTGGATAAATCTGTTTTGCTTTTTCTCATTTGGACTATTCTCTCCTCCTTCCTGCTTCCTATATACCTAGTTTTTCTTTTTCCTCCAACACGGTTTGAAGTTTTCTTCCTTTGTCTCCCCAAATCCCTTCTTAGTTCCCTTCCCCAATCTTAAGAGTTCCAAGTAACCTGTAGGTTCATTTGAATTAATGACACCAACTCAATCATTTCACTTTTCTTTTTCTAAGCTCTTGAGGCTGGCACTACTTCTCCTTAGTCATGTAATAATAGGGCCAGCATTTCCATCTAGAAGTAGCACATAATTTTCAGAAACCACTGCCACATCTTTGTAGAAACAGCAGCTGATTTAACGTTGCAAAGGCTTAAAGGTCATTTAGCCTAACCTCATCTTGTCATCTTCACGCCAGAGTGAACTCAGTACAGCTACAGCACGTCTAGCTGTTGTAATGATTTTTAAATCCATTAACCGGTTAGGTCTATAAATACAGAGTGCTTGACAGTTAGTTAATGGCATCTCAGCCTTATCATAATTCCATTCCGTGATTTTCCTTTCCCAGTCCATCCTTTAGATGTTCCGTTCACAACATGAAAATAGGAGGATTGCATTCCTCCTACTTATACATCCCACATAGCTATGAACCACCACACCAAGTTTTCTGTTGAGATGAGGCCTCACATACTTTTTTGTCCGAACAGGCGTGAAACTATAATCCTCCGGGTCTCAGCCACTTGCATAGCTGGGATAAGTGCATGCCTCTATGCCCTAACTATTGATTGAGATGGGATCTTGTGAAAGTTTTACCCAGGCTGGCCTACAGTCAGGATCTTCCCAATCTCTGCCTCCCAAGTAGATTGTGGGAGGTATTATTCTCAAGTTTAACATCTAATAGAATTTGCCTTGCTAAGGTTTGGTCTTGCCTGGTATTCATCGCTGCCTTCTTCCTTTTGACTTTTTCCTTTTTGGAAAAAAAAAAGAGTGTCTATACTGTGCTTGCCTCATCTTTTTGTTTTAGAGGCACAGAAGTTCCTAGTTTCACAGCCACAGCTGGAGAGAAATAGTACCTCAGGATGAATTGTAGGACTTCAGACTTTTGGCATTAGAACTGATGCTAGGAAGAGCGCAGACTGTGGAAACTATAGAGATGGAATCAATGTACTTCATGTGCAAGAAGAATAGGAATAAGGGGGCAGGGGTGTCCTGTAGACTAAATTGTATCTAACTAAGTTCCTGTGTTGAAACCCTCAACCTCAATGTTATATTTCTAGAGATGGGACTTTCAGGAGATAATCAGGTTTACGGGAAGGTCAGAGCTTCATGGTGGGATTGTTACCCTCATAAGAAGAAACATCAGGTGTAGTCTCTTTCTCTCCTCAGTGTGAGGGCACTATGAGAAAATAGCTGTCTGCAAGCCAAGAGGACCACTTTCACTAGGAACTGATCCAGCTGGCACTTTGATCTTAGAATTCTAGCCTCCACAACTGTGAGAAAATAAGTTTCACTTGCTTAAGTTAACTAGTCTAAGGTGTTTTACAATGGCAGCCTGAGTGAGGACATGCTGGTTGTGTCATATTTGTCTGTCTTAGTTTGTGGGGGGTTTGGTGGGTTGGTTTTTTTTTTTTTTTTGCTTTATTTTGTTTTGAAATACGATCCTTACTATATACTATATACTGTATACTATATACTATATACTGCAACTCACCTTGAATTTATTGTATGGCCTGGGCTAGCTTCAAATTTGAGATCCTTCTTACCTCAGCCTCCCAAAGGCTTATGCTGGGGATTACAGGCATGTGTCACCATGTGTATCTATCACTTTCCATGTGTAACTGTCAGATTCTTTTTACTCTGAGCTGTCTAAATTTCTGAATTATATTGTGTGTTCTCTAAGTCACTGTATGTCTTCTTCCGAAGTGCAACACCTCCACAAAAATCTTTGTCGATTTTATTTATGAAATAGTTTTTTTTTTTTGGGTCCGGTCATGGGGCCTGAACTCTGGGCCTGGGCACTGTCCCTCAGCTCTTCAGCTCAAGGCTAGCGCTCTACCACTTGAGCCACAGCACCACTTCCAGCTTTTTTCTTTTTGCTTATGTGGTGCTGAGGAATGGAACCCAGGGCCTCATGCATGCAAGGCAAGCGCCCTACCACTGAGCCACCTTCCCAGCCCCTTATGAAGAAGTTTTAAAGATAGGAAGAGTCATGTCTATGTTTGATTTTTGTTGTTGTTGTTTATAAACCTTAGTTGTTTATGAAAAACTTGGCTATAAAGTCTTTAGGCATAGTTTCCTCTCCTAAGGTACTAAACTATTTGATTGCTGTTCACCCAGAATTTGTCAAGTTTTTATCATGCTGCAGTGCCTTGTGGTTGTATATCAACTCTGATTTGTGCGTTTATAATACTTGCCTGGCCATGGAGCTATTTAAGCTAGTTCATTCTAGTATGAATGGTAAGTTGTGTCAAACTTGACTTCTGTCTCTAAATAGTAGGTTACTTAGTGAAAACCAGGAAGGAGGTTTGATTGAGGCAATAATTAGAATATAAGCCCCATGAAGAGTGGAGAAGGAGCCTGCTTGCCTCCTTCTCTGCTGTATCCCCAAGCATCTCATAGACTGCAGAGTGGTGACCCTGATTTCCCATGGCCCACAGACTATACTGATGCTGTATAAGTTTCTAATGGGCACTTAGCTCCCATTCAGCAGCTATGTAAATAGTAAATTATGCTTAACCTCTGTAGATCTAAGTCTGGTCACTTTTTGTGCATTATTTCTCTAAACCTTTAGTACTAAAAGAAGGACTGAAACCAATGTAGATTGTCTGTAAATTATTAGAGAGGAAAGTGTAAGTAATCGGGAAGGTATTTAGGTCTGGGTTTGGAATGTGTCTTTTAGACACAATTCCTACCCTTCATTTTCCTGCACAGGACCTTTTCAATTCCTATGTTACTTTTGACTTAAAACTGAGGATTGTGTAAGAGAAAGATGGGTTTTTTTCTTAAAGTTACCTCCTGTATTGCTCTGATGGAAAGGCAATTTGCAAATTGCTGCCGCTCTCTTGTGTTTACCCACGGCCACATTACACTTTATATATTGTGCTGTAGAGTATTGACTTTTGACTTGAAAGGTTTAATTGGCGCTCTGTAGAAAGTGGTGGTGAACAATGGGGACCTATCAGCTGCTCTGAACATTGATCAAAACGAACTAAGCAACTCAATGGCAGCGATAGGAGGGAGGGAACAAATGGGAAAGAGGGAACAGCTGTTGCTATACAAAAGGAAAGGAATGTACATATTACCGGATGTGGAAGAAATAACTGTATTGTCAAAGCTCATAGAAGTCATAAACTTTATAGGCCATGATAGACAATTTGCCCTATGAAAGTTAGAATGTGTTTGTGACTTTAACTAAGCATCACTATCCCACAATACTGTGAAATTATGTAATCACTTAATCACAATAAAGAATTTGCAAAAAAAAAAAAAAAAGAAAAGAAAGTGGTAGTGACACTGAGAACCAGTAACATATCTATTGTAGAGTATTGGTTCTGTTTATGCTGGGACTTGAACTCAGGTCCGTACACTCTGACTTGGCTGTTTTACTCAAAGCTGGCACTCTACTACTTGAGCCACACTTCTGTATTCTGGCATTTTGCTGGTTAACTGGAGATAAGAATCTCATAGACTTTGCTTACCTTCAAACCATGATCATCAGACCACATCCTCCTAGAAGCTAGGATTACAGGCATGAACCACAGTGGTTGGCCATCGCAGCCTCCATGATGGAGGCTAAAACCCTAGCAAGAGGTTATTGGGCTGTTCGCTAACCACTTCTACTTTTAGTATTATGTTTTTGCTATTTTTAAGTAGTGGTACAAAGAAGTTACCATTCAAGAAATCAGTTCATGAATACAATACTGCTGGGTCAATATCATCCCTTTACAAACAACTTTTTTTGTGTGTGTGTGTGCCAGTCCTGGGGCTTGAACTCAGAGCCTAGGTGTTGTCCCTTAGCTTTTTAGCATAAGGCTAGTGCTCTACCACTTGAACTACAGCTCCTACTAACCACTTCTTATTAATCACTTCCTTTCTTTTGCTTTTTCTTTCCAGATGGAGGGAAATGAAACATAAGGAAAGAAAATTATTCTAGTTCTTTTCCCCCCATACTTTAAAGTCTGGATTTGGTCTTTTTGGATAAGTAGTTGCAGAATCTTGAATCCTTGAGTAAAAATTATTTACTTTTAAGTTTCAGCTAGTCCTTCTCTGAAGACAGTACTTAGAAATAATACCTTTTTAACCTTAGGTACTTAGTAGCAAGTAGAAGGAAAGGCAGGTTGAACGATTTTGAATGATTCTCTCAACATAAGCATGAATATTGAAGTAATAATTCACAGATGATTAGGAAGGGAAGGTTCAGGCTATAAGGAGAGTTGACATTACATCATAACAAGAATCCTCTCCAGGAGAATTACATATTATAGTATATATATTAACAAACCCAATAAAGTAACAATTACATGCATTATAATTCTAGGCAAATGTGTCTAGTTTCAATATTCCTGAGCTATGTTTTTATTTCCTTAATTAAAAAGAAATAAGCTCATTGAAAGACTTACCCTCTTCAGGAAATGTGATAAGTCTACGTATAAATAGCCTTATTTAAGTCTTTGGTTGCTGACAGGCTCAGTTCTTGCCAGTGTGAAAGTTATTGTTTGTGTCCTAGACAGCTGCTCAGGAAGCAGTTCTGCATGCATCTGGAAGCGGCACCCCTTTACCCTCCAAGGACTACTGCATGCTATATAATCCTCTTTGGACAGTGCTTCCAACTACCCTAGAAAATGCAGTAAGTATTTAAGTATTTAAATCATGCTTACCTTTTTTTTTGGGGGGGGGGGGGGGACAGTCATGGGGCTTGAACTCTGGGCCTGGGCGCCGTCTCTCAGCTCTTCAGCTCAAGGGAAGCACTCTACCACTGGAGCCACAGCACCACTTCCAGTTTTCTGGTGCTTAACTGGAGATAAGAGTCTCGCAGACTTTTCTGCCTGGGCTGGCTTTGAACCGCGATCCTCAGATCTCAGCCTCCTGAGTAGTTAGGATTACAGGCGTGAGCCACTGGCACTCTTCGTGTTTACCATTTTATTCATGAAAATATTTGAAGAACTGACAGTAAGCCATCATTATGTTTAGTGGGTAAACTAACTTTGATATTTGGTGATTAATAATTATTTTATTGATTTTGCTCAAGTACTTTTCTCCATGGGAGAAAAGCTAGAGAATTTTTAAATACTTACCTAAGCTTGTGGTCAAAATATTTATTTCTAATTTTAAAAAGAGCATTGTGTTTGTTGGTGGTGTTGAGGATTGAACCCAACACCTCACACATGCTGAGTACACCTCCACATTGCACTGAGCTTTGCCCTAGACACTAAAGAACATTGAAATAAATTAACATTGGTGCCTCCTCACTGACAGGGTGATTGTCACATTAAAGGCATTTCTTACTTTCAGACTTCCAGAAGTTTGATGGATCTTACTAGCACACCACTATGCAACCTTTCTGATCTTCCTCTCCATGGCATGAACAATAAAGCAGTTGTGGTACAGTGGGGACCCTGCCATTTTCTGGAAAAAGCCAGAATTGCACAGAAAGGGGGTGCTGATGCATTGTTGGTTGCCAATAACAGTGTTCTCGTAAGTTATAATAAACTCTTTTCAGCTCCTTACATCAAATATCACCAATTAACTCCTTTGTGTGTGATTAGAGGGAACTTTGAATTATCTGATGGTAGGATTCTTTGTTTAACAAACATTCTGGATCTAGTAGGCATTTAATTAGATAGCTTTATAGTTTTTGTTTTATTCCTAGAGCAGAGGAGACTTCATAAGAAACAAATACATATGCATGTATATATTAAGTAGAGGTATGTGCATATGTTACAACAGAGTAACACATACGATGTCCTCTGTAGTGTCAGATTAAGTTCATGTTAAAAGGATTCCATTTTGAGAATTTACATATTATTAAGAAAGAAGTCCTGCAATTTTGTTTTATAATGACATGATAGTATTTACATTTACTAGAATAATGTATTTTATTTTTATTCAGTAAGTATATTAGTAGCTCACAAATTTCATGTTTTTTTTTTCCTTTTAGTTTCGTCCCTCAGGGAATAGATCTGAATTTCAAGATGTGAAAATACCAATTGCATTTATAAGCCAAAAAGACTTTAAAGACATGAAACAGGTAAATTAATAATTAAATATTAGATGAAATTTATAAATACAACTCATTAATCACTGACACTTAATTTTGATTGTGCTGTATGCTCCATTTGCTAATAAGATCAAAGATCTAGTAAGGTTGTTTTTGTAGTGGTTTTTTTTTTTTGGTGCTGGTCTTGGGGCTTGAACTCAGGGCCTGGGTGTTGTCCCTACACTTCTTTTGCTCAAGGCCAGTGCTCTGTCACTTGAGCCACAGCTCCACGTCCGGCTCTTTGGTAGGTTAGTGGAGGTAAGAGTCTCATAGACTTTCCTGCTGGGGTTGACTTCAAACTGTAATCCTTACATCTCAGCTTCCTGAGTGGCTAGGATTACAAGTGAGAACCATCAGTGCCCTTGCTCTAGCAAGTCTGTATTTGAAAAGTACCATCTCTCTTTTGTCCTAAAGTGTCTGAAAGCCCAGGCTTTGAGATACGTTTTGAGTTCTTTTAGAATCTCTCGAATCTCTCTTAATCTCTTAACCTCATGATGGTACTTTCAAGATTTTCTAGACCAAAGTCAGTTATCATATATTTGACTAAAGAATATATCATGAAGCCAGGCGCTGGTGGCTCACGCCTGTAATCCTAGCTACTCAGGAGGCTGAGATCTGAGGATCAAGGTTCAAAGCCAGCCCGGGCAGGAGAGACCGTGAGACTCCTATCTCCAATAAACCACCAGAAAACCGGAAGTGGCGCTGTAGCTCAAGTGGTAGAGCACTCGCCTTGAGCTGAAGAGCTCAGGGACAGCGCCCAGGCCCAGAGTTCAAAGCCCCACAACCGACCAAAAAAAAAGAATATATCATGAGATTGGGCGCTGGTGGCTCACGTCTGTAATCCTAGCTACTCAGGAGGCTGAGATCTAAGGATCAAGGTTCAAAGCCAGTCCAGGCTGGAAAGACAGTGAGACTCTTATCTCCAATAAACCACTCAGAAAACCAGAAGTGGTACTGTGGGTACTGTGGCTCAAGCGCTAGTCTGGAGCTGAAGAGCTCAGGGACAGCGCCCAGGCCCAGAGTTCAAGCCCCATGACCAAAAAAAAAACAAAAAAAAAGAATATATCATGATGTCTAGCCTTGACTGTCTGATGAAGTTTCCACATGTGAATTAACGTTGCTACTACACTGAATAGTAGAGTAAAAATTCATTTCTGTGTTTATCATTTTGCCTCTTAGACTTTTGGAAGTAACATTACTGTAAAAATGTACTTACCACCACGGCCTGACTTTGACTATACAATGGTGGTTATTTTTGTAATTTCTGTGTTCACTGTGGCATTAGGAGGATACTGGAGTGGACTTATTGAATTGTAAGTTTATTCAACCTTTACAATTTGTGAAAAATGATTGAAAGTAATTGTTTTATAATCATTTTAACTGTATGATGACATTTCAGATTTTCACCTGACCTCAGAATATAGTGCCAGTAAGACCAGTTGTAGGGTTATTCTTATTTAAGTCATTTACCTTTTTACTAAGAGGAAAAGAGAAGAGAGTTATAGGTTCCTCTAATTACCCTGTTGATAAAACACTGAAGCCACTTCAAAGGCTTTTTCTTTTGGTGGTAGTGCTAGGGTTATAGGGCCTTGTGCTTGCTAGGCAGGCATTCTACTTCTGGAGTCACACCCCTGGCCCCTTCTTGCGTTAGTTATTTGTGGTTGGGTCTTGCTTTATGCCTAAGCCAGGCTGGGCTGTGATCCTTCTACTTGTGCTTTCTTCTGTAACTCAGGATGATAGACACATGCCACAACACCCAGCCACCGTGCTCCCCTTCCAGGTAACAGATGCATGCCACTGCATCCACACATTGGTTGAGTTGCTATCTCATGAATTTCTTTTTGCTAACTTGGACTTGAACCACAATCCCTCAAACTCTCCCTTCGCTGTACCTGGTTAAAGACTTTTTTTTTTTTGGTAGTCATGGAGCTTGAACTCTGGGCCTGGGTGCTATCCCTGAGCCCTTCAGCTAACAGCAAGCACTGTACCTCTTGAGCCATGACACCACTTCGGTTTTCTGGTGATTAATTGGAGATAAGAGTCTCATGGACTTTTCTGCCTGGGCTGGCTTTGAACTGCGATCCTTAGATCTCAGCTTCCTGAGTAGCTAGGATTACAGGCGTGAGCCACCAGTGCCTGGCTAAAAGACTCTTAATTTACATATTTAGTTCTTTCTCCCAGGAAAGGTAAAAATACTTAATATCCTAATATGCCCATTTGTTCACATCTAAAAAAATCATCAAGAGAAGGAAGGGAATTTTTCAGTTCCTCCTGTATTGGGGCATAAACAATGTGGCCTCATTTTTTTTGTTTATATTAGGTATTAGGCTTGTACACATTCCATGTATACCTAAAGCACAGGGTATATATAAGGTCTGAGATCTCTAAGATCATATTCGACATGGATTAGTAAATTATAATTTTCCAAAACCTATTGCCTCTCAAATTGTAACATGCATGCAAACTGTCTAAATTTAAAATTTTGATTTTTTTTTCTTACAAGGTCCCTAGTAATTGCTTGGTGCATGAGCCACTTTTGCAGTTATCAGAATGGCCAAACCCAGCTAGGTTTGTTAAGATAATTAGAGACAAGACAATTAAATATAGGTAGATGAAGCTATCTATGTCTTGTACTTCTTTATTTAAAACCCTTCAAATTACATTGATGAGCACAAGATAGGCATGTAATAAATACTATTAGTCAATAAAATTTAGTCTTTACATTTAAAAGAAGCTAATTTTAGAAGTGCTTCACTATCTGTAAGTTGATAGTAGTATGTAAGAAATATTAGTTATTAATTAGAAATGTATTATGTCAATGTAAATAATTTCTAAATTAGATGATATGAATATCCATAAGCATTGATTTGCTTATATAACAATAATTAAATATTTGTGTATATGGCAATAATTAAATATTTCTTTATAGTGTTTAGTTTTAAAATATAGTGTTTTTGTAATCAGAAGCAAAATGATGTAGATTTTTAAAATATATTTGATAGTGAATACTGAAGTTCCTATGTGTATTTATACAGAGAAAACTTAAAGACAATAACAAGCACCGAGGAAAGAGAAATGAGGAAAAAGAAGGAAGAATATGTAACTTTCAGTCCTCTTACAGTTGTAGTATTTGTGGTCATCTGCTGTGTTATGATGGTCTTACTGTATTTCTTCTATAAGTGGTTGGGTAAGAAGTCATATTTTATGTTTGTTGCTTTTGTCATACATTATTTCTTGGAAGCATTTTTATCTAGAAAGGATACAAGTAAAACTTTCCAGAAGTTTTAGATCACTGTTACTCTGAAAAAAAAAAATGTCTTTTGTTGTCAGTTGTAGGGCTTGAACTTGGGGACCTGGGCACTGTCCTGGAGCTCTTTTTGCTTAAGGCCTAGTACTCTACCATTTTGAGCCTCAGCTCCACTTCTGGTCTTCTGGTGGTTAATTGAAGATAAGAATCTCACAGATTTTCCTGCCCTGGCTGGCTCTAAAGCACAATCCTCAGATCTCAGCTTCCTGAGTAGCTAGGATTACAGGCATGGGCCACCTGTGTCCAGCTTTGATTTTTTTTTTTTTTAATTCAGTAAAAAAAATACTCTTATGTTTTGTGATAGTAACATTTGTTCATGAATTACTTGAGAGCTTGTTTGGAGATTGCAGCAGGGGAGCACAGCTACTCATATACCCTTTACTGAAGGCCAGTCTTCCCCTATTGGGATGGTCACACCCGCAGCTTCAAGAGGGATGCACACAGAATGGTGAGGGAGGAAAGGGACACTGCCTACCCAGCCAAATCAGCCAAATCAACCCTGGCAATCAGTGGGGTGACAGATGCCGCAGCCAGATTGCCTGCACATCCCCATGAATTACTTGAAAAGACTGTTTATGTTCCTGAAGTTTCCCCACAGACAAAAAATTTTTTGTTAGCCTAGTATCTAGGCTATGGACTAAGACTTTATCAGGGTTATATATACTTGCATCAAATAGAAGATTATTCCAATTACTGATTTATGGAATCTGATTACCCTCAAATATAGTTGATCTTGTTTTACTCGTACAAACAGGATCATTCCATTTGTGAGGACACATAGATATTTGCCTGTGGTCTAAAAACTAACTGGTATATCATCTTAGTATGTTGGTGAGACTGAAGAGAAGAACACTGCATTATGTTGGAATTATAGCTAATTTTAGTAATCAATTGTTTGATCCATATCTGATTCTTCTTGATATTGTAGTAGTGGTCTTTGATAGAAAAGCAAAATCTCTATCTTATTCTGAACTCTGGGCCTGGGCGCTGTCCTTCAGCCCTTCAGCTCAAGGCTAGCACTCTACCACTTGAGCCACAAAGTCACTTCCAGCTTTTTTTCTTTTTGCTTATGTGGTGCTGGGGAATTGAACCCAGGGCCTCATGCATGCAAGGCAAGCATTCTTCCACTGAGCCACCTTCCCAGCCCCGTAAAATGTATTTTATCTTATGATGAGAAATTTCTTTAAACTTATTGCTGCTTAAAAAGCTGACATTGTTTATATATAAATATTTTTGTATAGGAAGACCATTCAATCTCAGAGTTATCCCAGGACATGGTCCTTAATTATGACTCTGGCAATGCTTTACCACAGAATAGTTCCTTCTTATTGTTAAAATTATTAGCATTTCTTGATACATTACACAATTTCTAAAGTTATTCTGCCATTTTATAATTAAGAAATGGTTAAGAAAGAAACTGACAATGAGTTACATTAACTAAATAGATATGTTCTGATATTGAATGTGACACTAAAACTCTAGGAGGACTTAAAGAAGCCTGTAGGGCAACTTTGGTAGGTAACTTACAAAAATCAATGACAGTCTATGACTATCTGCTCACATTACCATATATAACTAATGACAAAAATAATGAGTAACACATATAAAGCCTGTATGTACTACCTACTCTTCTAAGTATCTGTTTTAAGTTGCCTAAAATTAAGTAGAATTTGAAAGATTCAGGTACAACTTGTATTTCAATTGTGAAATTTTTAAAGGGAGTTCAGAAAAGAAAGACTTTAAAGTATAGTAATCCCCCTTTGTAACAACAAAGAGGTCACATAGCTTGGATTTTAAATAACTCTGAAATAAATCGAATAATAAAGAAAAATACCTGTGAGTTTTAATGAACTTAAGGTCATATCATAACAAAGAGGTTTGTTTAAATGGGTTTAGCTTTACCATAGGTCAAGTTATTACAGACACAGTCTTTATAGCAGAATACAGATAACATGGTTAATGTCTTAAAGCAGGTATTAATTTTCATTCCTAAGGTGAATTTCTAAAAATGTTTTTTTAAGATTTGTTAGTACTTTATTCCTTATAGTTAAATTAAATATTCATAAATATATAATTCATATTATTTTATCATTAAAAAACATGTCATTTGAATTACTAAATAATAGGAAATATAGGGACTCTTCAGCCTTTAAGCAATCCTACCAATGTATATTGGAAGTAAAATAACACCTAAAATGCCTACTTCTAAAATTCAGAATCTAAATAATTTTAGCTTAGTAACTAATTCAGATAATGAATGCATTAAATAAATGTATCATGGTCTAATAAAGAAAGACAAAGAAATAATATTGCTTATATAAATATTTTTATCACATTTTCTGGTGTTACATAATTTGATGTTTTTTTTTCTAGTTTATGTTATAATAGCAATATTCTGCATAGCATCAGCAATGAGTCTGTACAACTGTCTTGCTGCACTAATTCATAAGATACCATGTGGACAATGCACGTATGTATCTCCTAGGAAATGCTATATAATTGATCATTTAATATAAGGAAAAGGAAAATGTTTTTTTTTAACCTGTGAAGTCCAATATACATTAGACTTATTAGTTTAAATGTAAACTAATTCAAGTTAAATGAAATTTTTAAGCTTTCACTCTCAGACACACTTTAAGTATTGAGTACTCATGTGTGGTTCATGCCAACTGTACTGGACAGCACAAATCTAGAACACCTCATCATCATAAAAAGTTGGACTGGCCGGGCGCCAGTGGCTCATGCCTGTAATCCTAGCAACTCAGGAGTCTGATATCTGAGGATCATGGTTCAAAGCCAGCCTGGGCAGGAAAGTTCGTGAGACTCTTATCTCCAATAAACCACTAGAAAACCGGAAGTGACGCTGTGTCTCAAGTGGTAGAGCACTCACCTTGAGTTGAAGAGTGTGAAGACAGCACCCAAGCCCAGAGTTCAAGCCCCACAACCAACAAAAAAAAAAAAAATTGGACTGATCATCATGTGTCAGTTATTTTACTTACAATTGTGACTGCTAAATTGATATTTCAGTTACTTCTTGTGACTATTTTGCTGTTTTGTTTTTAATCAGCATGGGGTTTGAACTCAGGGCCTGGGTGTTGTTCCTGATGTGTTCAGCTCAAAGCAAGCACTTTACCTCTGGAGCCACAGCGCCACTTCCAATTTTCTGGTGGTTCATTGGAGATAAGACTCTCATGGACTTTCCTGCCTAGGCTGGCTTTGAACCGTAATCCTCAGATCTCAGCTCCTGAATAGTTAGGATTACAGGAATGAGCCACCAGTCCTCCCCTACCCCCCCACCTTGTGACTGGTTTATGTTGTCACTTTTTATATCAGAGAAACATTGTACTTTATAACATAAACTAAACAATTTCATTCTTTTTTTTAGGATTACGTGTCGTGGCAAAAGCATTGAAGTGAGACTTATTTTTCTCTCTGGACTATGCATAGCTGTAGCTGTTGTTTGGGCTGTGTTTAGGAATGAGGATAGGTATGAATACTTGATATATTCAGTGTTATATTGAAGGGTAGATTGTTTTATATCTTGCCTTAATCTCATTCATTACAATTGCTATGGAATTGTTTTGTGTTTAAGAACACATGTTGAAAGAAGCTACTTTTTAAATGAGCAGATCTTATACTAATGATTTGAGCTTATACAGAGAAGGAAATATGAGTTATGAGTTAAACACCTAGATTTTAAGAATATGCTTAATTATGACATACTACAGTGGAATTCAGTCTAACCCTAAAAAATATAAAGATCTTTTTGAACTAATAAGGCAGTGATTTCCAGGATATGCTATCTTAAAATTTTTGTTATTAAGTAGTTGTACAAAGAAGTTACAGTTCCATAAGTCAAGTTATAAATACAATGCCACTTGATCAGTGTCACCCGTTCTATTGTTCTCACTCATTATTCCTCCTCCCATCTCTAGCCTCAATCAGGATATGTATTTAAGTGAAAAAGGAAAATGTGAAAGCATATGTAGATTAGGCTGCCCTTTCTGTTAGAGTGAAGGGGGTGTGCAAAGTATCTGTCCATTCACAGAGAGAAGATATAGAAGGGATCTACCCTTTGCAGGAAAGATAACCTAAAAAATATATACTTGGGCTTATTTAATGGCATATCAATAAAGCTTTGGATGACCTGTAAGACTTAATAGTCTAAAATTTGGTAAATAAAGTTCATACAGCTTCACAGTTTCATCTATATCTATCAATTAGTAGTTACGTATGACAGTTTCTAGTAGAGTAAGTTGCAAGAGCTGTCACTTACATTCAAGCTATCTGGATATATATCAACAGTAGTGACCCTTGTGAACAGCTAACTTTCTGGAAAGAGATGTATATAAGCCCAAAGACTAAGGCAAACATCAGCTTATATATGATACATGTTTAATAATTGAACAATCAAGTCACAGCAATTTAATGACATTACTACAGTGATCTAATTTTTTAGAAAAGTTGATTTTTAAACATTAATCTAAAATATATGAATAAAACTATAGGGTAATATCTTTTTTATTTTAGGTGGGCTTGGATATTACAGGATATCTTGGGCATTGCTTTCTGCCTCAATTTAATTAAAACACTGAAGTTACCCAACTTCAAGGTAAAGTATATTGTTTTGCTAACTAAAAAAATACATAATTTGCATCAACTTTTTCTTTTTTTGCCACTTCTGGGCCTTGTACTCAGAACCTGGGCACCTAATCCCTGAGTTTATTTTTGCTCAGGCTAGCACTCTACCACTTGAGCTACAGTGCCACTTTTGGCTTTTTCTGTTTTATATGGTACTGAGGAAGCGAACCCAGTGTTTCATGCATGCTAGGCAAGCACTTTACCACTAAGCCACATTCCCTGCCCGTGCATCCACTTTTAAAATGCACAAAGGCTCAATGCCTACGTGCCTCTTCATATTTATGTAAAACACAAAAAAACACCATGTTAAATGTACTGTTTCTTGAAAATTTTCAAATGGATAACATCTGTTACCACCATGCCAATGAAGTCCTGAACATTTCTCATCACTTCACAAAGCTCTATTTTATCCTTTTTTTTTTTTTTTTGTCTGTCATGAGGCCTGAACTCTGGGCCTGGACGCTGTCCCTCAGCTCTTCAGCTCAAGGCTAGCGCTCTACCACTTGAGCCACAGCGCCACTTCTGCCTTTTTCTGCTTATGTGGTGCTGAGGAATCGAATCCAGGGCCTCATGCATGCAAGGCAATCACTCTACCACTGAGCCACCTTCCCAGGCCTATTTTATCCTTTTGCAATTAATCTTAACCCTGAGCAAAGTCAACCACTACTTTGCTAGTTAAAATGTTTAATCATTCATATACCCAAATCATAAAATTCTTATAAGATTGAATATCAAGGAAGAACATTTCATTGACTCAGTGATTTCTTTTAAGCAAATGGGATAAAAATGATAAGAACTTTAATGTTTCTAGAACAGCAATAGACAATTATAACCATAGAACACCTTTTAAAATAGTATTCAAATATATTTTCACATGTTATTTGTATTTGCAAAATACATTAATCTCTTAATTTAGATAAGGGAAGTTTGACCTTTAACTTTGTTTCTTTTCTCAACAGTCATGTGTGATACTTCTAGGCCTTCTCCTCCTCTATGATGTTTTTTTTGTTTTCATAACACCATTCATCACAAAGGTATGATCATTGTATATATTTTATTAACCCATGAAGAAGCATGCCAAAAGATGAGAATCTTAACCTAGTCTTAGATTGTTGGTTTTGTAGACATTTACTATTCAGTGAATTCCATTAGTAGAATTGTCATTAACACTGGTCCTTTAATAGTTGGTTCATTCCCATTTCCCTCCCCCCCAAAAAATGAAGTCTTCTGACTGATGTAAAAATCAGAATGTCTACATTTTTTCTTCTTTTAAAAGTAATTTTTCTTAGCTGAGCATGTGACCCCAGATTTAGGAGACCGAGATAGGAAAATCATGATTTTAAGGAAAACATAACTACACTGACTCTGGCCTCAAGAAAAAAAAAAGTGATGTCAAATGCTAGTGGCTCACATCTTAATCCTAGGTACTCAGGAGACTGAGGTCTGAGGATTTCAGTTCAAAGCCAGCCAAAGCAGAAAAGTCCATGAGACTCTTACCTCCAATTAACCATCAAAAAGCCAGAGGTAGAATGTGGCTCAAGATGTAGAGCATCAATCTTGAGCTAAAACACAAAGGAACAGTGTCCGGGCCCTGAGTTTAAGCCCCAGGACTCACACAAAATAAAAAACAAAATGTGGTTGGTACTCAGCTGTCTTTAAATATATGGGAGGGAGACACTGAAGATCTTCACTAAATATTTTAAATAACAACCAGACGATTAGCCAAATTAATTTTATGGAAATGGGTTCACAACCGGAGAATTTTCTTCCTATTAATAAAGTTACCTTACTAAACTGCTGTGATTTAACCCCTCTGTAACCAAAAGCTTAGCATGAGGAAAAGATTTTTTCAGGCAGGGATTTAACCTTTTTACTCAGTTTAGATATCAGTGAGATGGTTTTAAAAATAATCAAGTGCTTTCTCTTGTGTAACCTTCCCATGGAAAATATTATAGTCAGACATATTTTTCAAAACTGAGCATGTATCTTCTTTCACTGTTTCCCTCTTAGATTTGTACTGTGAAACCTAAAATGGGTGCTCAGTCACTCTTAGGGTGCTACTTCAAAATGTTACTTCTTCTCCTGCTACAATAGATTGGACTTGCAGGAGATAACATTTTAATAAATTCCTTACATGACCCACAAAAGACTTCATAAGACTCAGAGGGAATTGCAGAAAGGTCAATGTTTTGTTTGGAACATAGAATGGCTGGGCTGAAGTTGGGCAGGAGTCAGACAAGGAATACATCACTGATTCTGTATAGAGTTGAGTCTTCTCATATCTGCTTTCATTGTTCTATTATTGTAGTGAGTAGCAAGGCCCTATGTATATTTATTCAAATAAAGTTACAAAGCTAAATTTAAAAGATTTTAGTATATCCTTCTTCTCTGACATTGTTTAAAATGACTAGGAACCATAATACTGCATAATAAATATTTGAAAGTATTTGAAACATATAATCCATTATAAATGTTAGATTTACTATGTCAGTATAATACAAAGCTCAAGGTACACTTTAGTGATGTATGCATTTAGTGATCTGTGATTTGTCAGTTTCTGATGATTTCTGAGCTCTGCTAAAGTGAAACCATGTGTTAGGTTTTAGACGGTTTTGATTTTTGCCATCTACAGGAAATGAGGATGAAAATAAGACGTAATGGGCTTTATATCATTCTAAATAGTGGCAGACTGTTCTAGTCAGATGACTATATAACGTCTTTCTTCTTCCTCCTCAATTTTAGAATGGTGAGAGTATTATGGTTGAACTTGCAGCTGGACCTTTTGGAAACACAGAAAAGGTAGGGATGGCAGTAAGACAGAAATGGCTGCCCAGTGTATGTAGTGTATCCAGTTCATAATGTTGCCTTCTTATGTAATCCATTGGTCATGTAGTGCATGTTAAGGTATTGTACAACTTATTTCTCAAAAATATAGCCCTTTTCATAGTTATTCTAAATTATTAAATACCTATTGACTTGGGTTTCATCCTAGAATGATGGAAACTTTGTGGAAGCCACTGCTCAGCCCTCAGCTCCCCATGAGAAAGTAAGGATTGTATTTCAGATATATTCATTGGACTTTAAAACATACCCTCTGAGGCAAGACTCTTCTTTGGGGAAAACAATCTTGATTTAAAAAAAAAATTGCCGGGTGCTGGTGGTTCACGCCTGTAATCCTAGCTACTCAGGAGGCTGAGATCTGAGGATCACGGTTCAAAGCCAGCCCAGGCAGCCAATAAACCACCAGAAAATCGGAAGTGGTGCTGTAGCTCAAGTGGTAGAGTGCTCCCCTTGAGCTGAAGAGCTGAGGGACAGCACCCAGGCCCAGAGTTCAAGCCCCATGACCAACAAAAATAAAAAATAAAAATTCAAGGTCTGAGTCCTATTGTTGGTAAAAAGTAAAAAAACCCAACAAAACCTAAAAGGTTAGATATGGGGATAGTAGATGAATTAATACTATTACTCCTACAGGGGTTTCATTTTACCAAAATTACATATCTATTTCTGTCGATCTTTCTGTACATGTAGTATGTTTGTGTATTGTCTAGTCTATGATCTCTGATTTCAAGGTTGATTTTTTTTGTTAAATGTCAGTTTAAATTTTTCTTACCATTATTCTGTTAGTCCTTTCCTTTCTAAAAGAAACTTGAAAAGAGTTTTATTGGTGACCTTTTCCTCTCCCCCCTTCTTATTTTACAGTTACCAGTAGTTATCAGGGTACCAAAGCTGATCTATTTCTCAGTAATGAATGTGTGCCTCTTGCCTGTTTCATTATTGGGTTTTGGAGACATTATTGTACCTGGTAAGTGGCTTTCACAAGTTTGGTAAAAATATTCTGATGGTTTAAAATGTACCATGTTTGTGAAAAGTTGCCTGCTCTATATTGTGTATTTCTGGATGTCATTAGAGCTGATCAGTGACAAAGATAAAAAAAAGTGAAAACCATTTTGAGCAGTACAGGATAAGGCCCAATAGGCAACAACCCAAGCAAAATCGATGATGGTTCAGAAGGTGTCTAAAAGGAAGCAGTTTAGTCCTCTTCTCCAGGGAAGTATATTTTTGTCACTCTTTTGAAGTTGAAGATAATAATGCCAAGAATATGGTGTTTAATCAGTTTTATGGTGGTATTTATTTTAGGAAGTGTTTTAGGGATGTTAGCAAGGTCGAGTTCAAGAGGAGATACTAGGCACAAGCTTGGATGGCTCTATAATACCGAGTCAGTCTGTAGGACCACTTTCTCCTGGTAGTTCCTTCAGATCTGGCTTATTTCCCTCACTGGGTGACCTATTGAGCAAACAATCCCAGACAAGTAACAATGTTTTTTGGGGAGGGGTCCGGTCGTGGGGCCTGAACTCTGGGCTTGGGCACTGTCCCTCAGCTCTTCAGCTTAAGGCTAGTGCTCTACCACTTGAGCTATAGCGCCACATCCGGCTTTTTTCTTTTTGCTTATGTGGTGCTGAGGGCCTCATGCATGCAAGACAAGTGCTCTACCACTGAGCCACCTTCCCAGCCCCCAGACAAGTAACTATGTTGTTTAGCTTTCTGTGCCCATAGCCACTCCACAGACATAGTCACCAAAGGTAAAAACAACTCAGACTTTGCATAAGAACAGTGGCCAACATTAACCCCATGAAGGGCAATAAGGGCAAGAACTCTGTATGCCCAGGGGCTGGAAGCAGATTGGCTGTGGTGGCACATTAAGCTGACTTTCTGGAAAAAAGCTGAAACTACCAAGAAGACTGTGCTGAGGTTTGTGTTGAGTGCTTATTAAAGTGAATGTGAGTAAAGCAATGTGAGTATTTTGAAGTGGAAGAAAACAACAAGAGAAAAGACCAAGTAATCCAGTTCATCTTTTATTATGAAGGGAAGAAAATCTTGAGGTTATGTTCATAAGAAATAATAAAGATTTTTGAAAGTAATTAGCTGGGCATCATGGCGCACAGCTGTAATCTTAGCACTTGGGAAGCTGAGGCAGCATGATCAAGAGTTTGAGGCTGGCTAGAGGCAACTAGTTAGTCCTTACCTCAAAATCTCTCTCTCTCTCTCTCTCTCTCTCTCTATCACACTCACACTCACACACACACACACACACACACAGTAGTTAATAAGATTTTTTTTGTCAACTGAGCACTTGTCCTGTTGGCTCCCTATCACTGACTGCCTGTTGATGATGAGGAATCCTGGCTTTTCTGTGAAAGCCTTTCTATATTTACCTAAAGAGAGAGTGAACAGTGTTCTCTTGTGAGTTGGCATGACAAAGTCCACTATAGCAGCACTCTTAGTTCAGTGAATCTCCAAGCTACTTGTAAGGCAGCAAAAGAATTCTGCCAAGTACCTTAGTGATCCTTGTGCTTCGTCGAATTTGTCCTTGCTTTTACCAGTGTCATGTTGAATGTTCCTTAAGACCTTGTACATAATCCTTGGCTTAGAACTGGTCAAAGGTCTTAAATATGTTTCACTGAGTTATTGACTCTACATGAGACACTAAGAGCTAAATTTGGCAGTACTGTGTGTGTGCATGTGTGCACATGCACAAGTACTGGGGCTTGAACTTGGGACCTTGAGCACTGCCTTGGCTTTTTCACTCAAGTCTAGTGTTCTACCATTTGAACTACATCCTCCACTTCTAAGAGCTAAATTTTGATTGTAGGGAAAGGGTACATTTTTTTTTTAAATATGGAAATGTAAACATCAAAAAATATACTAAAAAATAACAGAGAACTTTATTATATACAGACCAAAATTAATTCAAACAACTTGTAAATATAGTAAATTGTTCATTGTTCATTTATTTTTTGTGTGTGCTAATACTGGGGCCTGAACTCAGGGCCCAGGTGCCATCCCTGTCTTGTTTGTTTAGATAGGGTTGGTTATTATTTTCTTTGTGGTACTTAGGGCCTCATGCTTAATAGGCAAGTCATACCTCCTGCCCTTTTTATTTTAGTTTTCAGATAGCTCCCATGTTTTTGCCCAGGCTGGCCTGGGACCGTGTTTCCCCTATGGTCTCCTACATAGCTGGAATGACAGGTATATATCATTATGCTTTGCTTATTTGTTGAGATGGGGGGGGTCTCACTTTTGTCCAGGCTAGCCCCCAACCATGATTCTCCTGATTCCCAGCTTTAGAGTAGCTGAGGTTTACAGGTGTGAGTCCCATATATGTGTGTGTGTATACATATATACATATATGCGTATATGTATGTATGTGTATATTTGACTCAATATGTTTTTTTGGGGGGGTCCAGTCATGGGGCCTGAACTCTGGGCCTGGGCACTGTCTCTCAGCTCTTCAACTCAAGGCTAGTGCTCTACCACTTGAGCCACAGTGCCACTTCCGGCCTTTTTCTTTTTGCTTATGTGGTGCTGAGGAATCGAACCCAGGGCCTCATGCATGCAAGGCAAGCACTCTACCGCTGAGCCACCTTCCCAGCCCCTTGACTCAATATGTTTTAAATGTGATATTTAAAAAACTTAAACACTATTTAATAGTTTGGGGGGAATATTTAAAAATACAGTATGATAATATTAAAGTTAGCATGTAAAACTTGTCCCAGTTTTTTTGTTGTTTTGTTTTTATCGGTGCTGGGCCTGGGGCTTGACCTCAGGACCTGGTGCTGTCCCCAAGCAGATGCTTCTGCTCAAGGCTAGCACTCTACCACTTGAGCCACAGTTGCACTTCTGACTTTGTTGTTAGTTTATTGGAGAGAAGAGTCTCACAGACTTTCCTGCCTCAGCTGGCTTTGAACCTTGATCTTCAGAACTCAGCCTCCTGAGTAGCTAGGATTACAGGCGTGAGCCACCAGTGCCCAACTTTAAGTATTTTTTATGATCTTGTAATTTTAAAAAGTTACAATGTAACATATACTCTAATACAGTGAACAGTTTAATTTGTGTTGCTGTTGTTTTAAGAAAATAATGTGGAGTTGCTTTTCTTTTAAGGTCTGTTGGTTGCATACTGCAGAAGATTTGATGTTCAGACTGGTTCTTCTGTATACTATATTTCATCCATAGTTGGTAAACTTTTGTGTTTTTTTTTGTTAGTTTGAATGTGTTGTCTAAAGGAAGTGATGAGGTCTTTAAGGTTGTTGGATTGTAATTATTCATCATAAATTAATTTCACATTTTTACATCAGAAGGGAATAATTTAACAATCTTTTAGAGGTTTAAAAGGGAAATTAGGGAGCTGAATTCCAGTGGCTCATGCCCATAACCCTAACTGCTCTGGAGGCTGAGATCTAAAGATCATGGTTTGAAGCCAGCCTAGGCAAGAAAGTCTATGAAACTTTTCTCTCCAATTAACAGAGAGAGACAGAGACAGAGAGACAAACAGCTCAAGCTTGAAATGGAGCTGTGGCTCAAGTGATAGTACATCAGTCTTAAATCTCCAAGGCCAGCTTAAGAACATCATTAAAAAAAAAAAAACTAAGTGTGAAATAAAAGATTAAGTTCTCCATATGATATATGTTAAATATTTGGCATATAAGTAGTCAGTAAATGGTATCTTACTTGATTTTTTACAATAGCTATGTTTTTATATAAATGAATTTATGACACAATAACATCTTACCTAGGAAGAGAGAAATTGAGCCTGATGCTGGTGGCTCATGCCTGTAATCCTAGCTACTCAGGAGGCTGAGATCTGAGGATCACGGTTCAAAGTTCAAAGCCAGCCCGGGCAGGAAAGTTCATGAGACTCTTATCTCCAATAAACCACAAGAAAACCGGAAGTGGCGCTGTGACTCAAGCAGTAGAATGCTCGCCTTGGGCTGAAGAGCGCAGGGACAGTGCCCAAGCCCAGAGTTCAAGCCCTACGGCTGACAAAAAAAAAAAAAAGCGAGAGATTGTTGTCACCTAAACCTCTACTATTGAAAACAGAGTTAATAACAGAAAGTAATCAAAAAATACTCTACTAATTCTGTATATCTCAAGTGAATACCTGAAAATTTGTACACTAACGCTCTGTATGTATAGGTAAATGCCTGCATGGGAAGCCACTTTTTATATATTCTAGCAAGTCCCCAATGGAGTTAACTCCTCACATCAGAAATGTATATTAGGACCAGACACAGTAGATAAAGCCTGTAATCCAGGTTACATGGGAGGCAAAGATCAGGGGATCCTAGGCATAAAGTTCTCAACCTTGGTGGAACACTTTAATATCCCTAATAGTAACAGGTAATTGATAACTTAAAAAAATTACTTGTGGGCAGGAACAGGAGGGGGGAAAAGCAAAAGAAGGGGTGACATTATCCAAAAAGGAAATATACTCATTACCAGGCACTGGTGGCTCACGCCCGTAATCCTAGCTACTCTGGAGGCTGAAATTTGAAGATTGTGGTTCAAAGCCAAGCTGGGCAGGAAAGCCTGTGAGACTCTTATCTCCAGTTAACCACCAGGAAACCAGAAGTAGCACTGTGGCTTAAAGTGGTAGAGCACTAGCTTTGAGCAAAATGAACTCAGGGACAGTATCCAAGCCCAAGTTCAAACCACCCACCCCAAAAATGTACTCATTACCGACTTATGAAATGGTAGCCCCTCTGTACTAATAATAATAGAAATATACATATTTCTATTATTATTTCTATATATATATTTCTAATAGATAGATAGATTGGTTGTGAGACTTGAACTCTAGGCCTGGGCACTGTCCCTGAGCTCCTTTGCTCAAGGCTAACACTCTCCTACTTTGAGCTACAGCACCAGTTCTGGTTTTCTGGTGATTAATTGGAGATAAGAGTCTTACAGACTTTCCTGCCTGGGCTGGCTTTGAACTGAGATCCTCAGAATTCAGTCTCCTGAGTAGCTAGGATTACAGGCACGAGCCACCACCACCTGGTTTGATAGAATTATATTTTAAAAATTATCTCTTAGGTAATTATTAGGTTGAAAGTTTCCAAATTTTTCAGAAGTTCATAGAATATAGTTCTATTTACTGTCTAGAAAAGCAATGAAATTATGACATGAATTCTTATGGCAAAAGGGTTATGGGAAACACTTGAAACCAGTAGGTGATGGGGGAGGGCAGATCCACTCTGTAGCATGCAGCAGTGACTGACACCTGGTGCTCTTCCTGCAGCCTATGCCATTGGCATGATACTTACGTTTGTTGTTCTGGTGCTGATGAACAAGGGGCAGCCTGCCCTCCTCTACTTGGTACCTTGCACACTTATTACTGCCTCCATTGTTGCTTGGAGACGTAAGGAAATGAAAAAGTTCTGGAAAGGTAGCAACTATCAGGTATGTGCTTGCACTTCATAATTCATGAGTTGGGCTGGAAAGAGTCTATATGTATAATATAGTAATATACCAAAAAACTTCCTGTAAGTCTGACTTTTTCACTACTATCCTCTTATTCAGTGTGCCCTCACTTTGGGCTGCAGTCTATAAATAGAATCTAGTGCCAAAAGCTTGCTAAGTGGAGCTAGCGCACAGTGGAGGGGAAGGGGACATGGGGAAAACATTTCAACACGTGTTTCTCAAATCCTCATAAAAGTAAATTTCATGACACTTTTTCAAATAAATACTGAGGCTGACATTTTATGCTAACAGTCCTAAGGATTCGAAAATACATACATTTTCTCCGACATTCCAATGTTACTTGAATGGGCGCTCATTTCAGATTTAAATGGGTCAAAATTGGCCTTTCTTTAAGACTTTCTTTAAAACAAGGAAAGCATTCATTCAGAACCTGACTTGGTTTGTTTTTTTTGTTTTTTGTTTTTTGGTCGGTCTTGGGGCTTGAACTCTGGGCTTGGGTGCTATCCCTGTGCTCTTCAGCTCAAGGCGAGCGCTCACCTCTTGAGTCACAGTGCCACTTCTGGTTTTTCTAGTGGCTTATTGGAGATAAGAGTCTCAGGGACTTTCCTGCCGGGCTGGCTTTGAACCGCAATCCTCAGATCTCAGCCTCATGAGTAGCTAGGATTACAGGCATGAGCCACTGGTGCCCGACTTAGAACCTGGCTTGTTTTAATTCTTGCTTCACAGAGGTCTGTGAATCACTTCGTTCTTTTCCTAAGTGTTCTTGGTATTCCCATAAAAGCTACTTGCATTGCAACCAGGAGGGTTGGAAACCTGTGTCTGCTGAGATCAGGACCATGGCATCCACCCCCTTTGTACAGGGACTTGGTTGGGTATTATCTCTGCTTTGCCCAGTGACAGCAAATTACCCTGCCTCACTCTCGCTCACATGTGCATGTCAGTGCTCACAGAGAGAGGCACTGCCAGTGGGTGGTTGCAAATCTATTGCTAGAAAAACTGTTCACGTCCATCTTGAGGTTGGTCGGAACTGACTTTATTATTATTTATCAAGAATTGGTGGTTAATGTATTACATTACAACCTACTATTGGAAAAAAGCATTGATTCAAGTTTCTTTCTGATAAGTCTTGTAATTTCTTTAAGATTTGGATAAAATAACAATACCTACTTTACCTATCTTATGATGCTGTTGCCTCAACTTCTCTTAATAAGTGGAGAATTTGTTTATTGCCACAAAGCCCTTGAGAGAACTAGTAATAGAGCTTTTAACTTTACCACAGAAGTGACATCCACAGAAATTGGGGGGGGGTTCTGTTTTGTTTTGTTTAGTTTGGTTAGTCGTGGGGCCTGAACTCTGGGCCTGGGCCCTGTCCCTCAGCTCTTCAGCTCAAGGCTAGCGCTCTACCATTTGAGCCACAGCACCACTTCTGGTTTTTCCCGTTTATGTGGTGCTGAGGAATCAAACCCAGGGCCTCATGCATGTGAGGCAAGCACTCTACCACTGAGCCACCTTCCCAGCCCTGTTTTTTTTTTGTTGTTTTGTTTTGTTTTTTGCTTTTGGTACTGAGGATCAAACCCAAGGCCTCCCACATGCTAGTGCAGTTGTTGTTTTTTTTTTGTCATTCGTGGGGCTTGAACTCTGGGCCTGGGTGCTGTCACTCAGCTCTTCAGCTCAAGGCGAGCACTCTACTGCTTGAGCCACAGTGCCACTTCCAGTTTTCTAGTGGTTTATTGGAGATAAGAGTCTGTTGGCCTTTCCTGCCTGGGCTGGCTTTGAACTGTGATCCTCAGATCTCAGCCTCCTGAGTAGCTAGGATTACAGGCATGAGTCACCAGCATCCAGCCAAGTACAGACTTTTAAAATAGGTTATACACGCTAGTGTCACCATTTAAATGTTATATCCCCAAATGGATCTTCATTTTAATAATTTTTCCTCCAGTATGGCTTTTGGACTTGGCTTTGCACTTTTTAGATAATCACCCTGTATCAATCTAGCCACTCTGTCAACTCCTTTTGGGTTGGATATTTTCTAAATAGGATTGTTTTATGCCTGGACCATCTAGGACTGTAGTCCTCCTATTTGTACTTTCCTACATTGCTGAGGTGACAGGTATGTGACGTGGTACCTAGCCATTGGTTAAAATGGAGTCTCATGAACTTTTTTTTTTAAGCCTGAGGTACTCTTAATGTGAGATCTCCCAATCTCTGCCTCCCAAGTAGCTAGGATTACAATTACTGTACAATTACTGTACCTGACTTTTTTTTTTTTAACTTTAATTTTTTTGTACTAAGGCTGAGGGATGTATTTGTATCCCTAATGAGCAGATGCTTTGTCTACGTTTCATTCTTAAAAGTTATGATCTTAACAAATCATTCGGCTTCGCAGCAGCTACCTATGAAAGGAAAACTTGCAGCAGCTGGACACAAAGCAGAGGCAGGACACAAAACTCCAGAGGCAGGTTTGGGGACTTTCAGCACATACTGAAGTAGCGAGGCACTGATCCTGGCAACATTTATTTAAAAGTATCGGAACTCTTCGTTGCTTTGCTTGTAAACCTGTCACTTTTGCAGTGTAGTATCATAAGCGCATTACATAAAGACACTCAGAACATGGAGTCTGTTGCCAGACTGCTAATTCTGATTGTGATCCTCACAGCTGTGTGGCCTTGGGCAAGTTACTTAGCTTCTCGGTATCCCGGTTTCCTCCAATAAAATGGGATAACTAACCTACCTCAGAAAATGGCTAATTTTGTTGTCAACAATTAAATATGGTACCATATACATACTGGTTAGAAAAGTGCCTTCCACATTTTATCCTCAGCACTGTATTTGCTATCATTTTTGTAAGAGGTGGGATTTTTGTTTGTTGTCGTTTGCTGGTTTGGTTGTCACTTTCAAGTTCTTTAGATGTTCATTTTCCTGGTTTGGATTTTAAAAAATTGCAAATTTTGAATTTTGGTAAAAATCTGGTACACTTATTTGAATATTTACCTTAATTAATTTCTGAAAGGACAAATGCAGAGATGTAGTCTCTTTGTTTAGGCTATTTGTTTAGACCCAACCACTTCTTCCATTGTGTACCAAACTGTAAATATAAAATGGGAAAGCTGTTGAAATTGTAGATGACTTAGTTGTAGAATACTAAAAATTATCGAGTCTCTTTTGACAGAAGACTAACATTTTTGAAAGCTATCTAAGTAATGTCTTCGCAAAAAGTAATATCTTCCCTTGCCATGTAGAAAAGAAAATTTCTCATTGGTTAGGACCAGCTTTGTGTGTCCAAGTTCATTGAGCTTGAATGTGACCATTTGTAAGGACAGTATATTAATGGTCTTCAACATCACTTCTGGTAAATTAATAAATCCTTAAGGACTCTGTCTCCTCAGCCATAAATTGTGGTTGGCTCAGTAGGCAAGTCGGAGAACAAGGAATCATAGTGATGGGTTAGCCCAAGGCTCTCAGTAAGTGAGGCGGTAGATGTTCAAATCAGATAAACAAGGCAGAGTCTTTTAAAGTGAAATAAAGAACTGCAAGCCTGGTTGAGCAGTGGGAGCTTGGTGAGGTCCCAGCGTGGGCCCCAGCTACATCAGCTCTGGCTCCTAGGCTCAGCGTAATCAACTCCCTCCTCACCCCCAACCTCCACTTCTCCAAAGCTTTGTTCATCTCTGTTTCTAGAGTATCTCATATTTCTCCCAACTAAAACCTGCCATCTGCAGACAGATGTCCATGAATTAAAAAAGACTAAGTCATCTATTTGAGGTCAGGGTCACCTTTCCCTCTATTTTTAAGACTTTGTACTTGATATACATAACCTCCCTGCAGTGTAGGTATATCTCTTGTCTCTTCACTATGTTGTGAGTGCCTCTGGCGAAGACCATACAGTGCTTCTAACAGTATTTTACATACCAGCAATGCTCAGGTAAAAAAGCAACGATAGGGGCTGGGAAGGTGGCTCAGTGGTAGAGTGCTTGCCTCACATGCATGAGGCCCTGGGTTCGATTCTTTAGCATCACATAAACAGAAAAAGCTGGAAGTGGCGCTGTGGCTCAAGTGGTAGGGCTCTAGCCTTGAGCTGAAGAGCTGAGGGACAGTGCTCGAGCCCAGAGTTCAGAGTTCAAGCTCCATGACCAAAAAAAAAAAAAAAAAGCAAGTATAGCCAGGTGTTGATGGCTCACGCCTGTTATCTTAGCTACTTAGATTGCTAAGATCTGAGGATAGTGGTTCAAAGCCAGCTCCAGTAGGAAAGTCTGTGAGACTCTTATCTCCAATTAATCACTGAAAAAGCCTGTAGCAGTGCTGTGGCTCAAGTGGTCAAATGCTAGCCTTGAGCCAAAAGAGCTCAGGGACACTGCCCAGACCCAGAGTTCAAGGCCCAGGACAGGCAAAAAAAAGAAAAAAGAAAAAAGGGAAGTGGCGCTGTGGCTCAAGCACAGGGACAGATAACAAGTCCAGAGTTCAAGCCCCACAACCGACCAAAAAAAAAAAAAGTATACAGTAAAAGTATGGGAAATATAAAAAGAAAGAAAGAAAAAAGAAAAAAAAGGCAGGTATAATGTTTAATCCTTAATCTGTTGCCCTTTTGTCTGTTTGGTATATGTGTGTATGAACTTCCTGGTTGTGTTTCAGCCTTCTGCTTACTAAGCGGGTTCTTTGCCACTTGTGCCACATACCCCATTTCTTTTGCTTTTAGTTTGCTTCTCAAATAGGGTCTTTTGCTAACTTTGCTTGGATCACATACATCATTCCCTTTCCCTCCAACTCCTGAGTAGCTGAATTTGCAGGAATGAGCCACCTTACGCATGGTTTGTTCTTGAGATAGAGTGTCCCTGACTTTTGCTCTGTCTGGCCTTGAACCTTGATCCTCTTGTTTCTGCCTCTAAAGTAACTTGGATTACAGATGTGCCTCACTATGCCCAATATTACATACAATTTTTAATGACGTACTTTTAGAACATTAGACTAATATCTTTACATACTAA